TTTTTTTTTTTTTTTTTTTTTTTTTTTTTTTTTTTTTTTTTTTTGGTATGGGGGATCCAACTCAGGATCTTACACTTGTGGGGCAGGCGGCAGAAACTCCGAGCTAAATCCCCAGCCCTTGTCATATCTTTTAATACAGAGAAACTTAAGGGAAGGCAGAAAGGAAGGTGAAGAACTAATTACTTCTTCACTTATAGAGACCAGGAGAAATCCAAGTGATTTTTAGGTCTTGGTGTAGGGTGATGGGGCACAGTTGTGGGTTCATGGTGTTTTTTTTGTGGGTAACTGTGCTCTTACATACCTAGCTGTAATGGCCTGATGGCAGAAATACTTTCAAATATGTATATTAAACAACATTTTTATAATTAAATATCAGTTTCAATAAACATTGATACTTCATTGATTGCTATCTTTTCTCTTAGTCTCTCTTTTCTTTTTTCATCTGCCCAAGGCTGGTTTTCTTTAGGCTTCAGTGATTGAGAACACATTACACCTCTCATAGTTTCCTGTTTTTTAAAATTAACAAGTTTCATAGCTAATCAGAGATCCCTTTTATCTCTCCAGCTCTGTAATTCTACAATTTTTGTAGTAAGATATTATTTGTGACTCTCAGGCTAGCTAGCAGTTTAGACCATGCATTTACAAAGTGTTTGCCTTGCTTGACATCAATCTCACACTGATGTATGAGTTACCAAAAACATGTTATTTGGAAGGCTACCGTGCCTTCCATTTGTTATATGACGGTACCTGGCCTCTTGCACTAAGGCGAGTGCTGTGTACAGTAAGTAGCCTTTGTGTAGTTGTTGTTCCCATCATGGATTCATTTCTGCCTGATAGGAGATTGCTTACTCTTATTCAGGTTTAAACATTTGCACACTTATCAGCTTCTAATTTGTTTTCTGGAAAATGGATGATGAGCAAAGAAGACATTCTTGTAAAAAAGATTTCTTCTTAACTATGTCAGCAGCTTTCTCTTTTGTTCCACGACCGCCTTTTCCGCTAGCGACTTTTCATGAATGCCTACTTCCTTTCATTGCTATTTGTATTTGTTGCCTGAATTAATTTTCTTCAAACTTTTCCTATAGTTATCATTTCTTTGTACCAGACACCATGACCTCTTGAGAAAAGCACACATAATCAAGGGTGCCCATGGTTCCTGAATTCAGGAAAGCTATTCCTTCAGTCAGTGTGATTTGAGCGTCTGCTGATGTTTTCCTTGGGTTCCTTTCCTCAACTGGACCCGCTCTGAAAGAACAGACACTCGGAATCTGTTGCTGTTGTAAAGCAACGCTTTGTAGGTGAACACGTGGCTGGGGTGACCTGTGCCACTGCTTAGTGATAGTAACATAATCATTGAAGATCAACCCTGGTGCATTAACAGACGTTCCAAAATAGTTGTTGAGTGGATGGATTGTTAATGGATGGATTAATGAAGGATCTGCTTTTAGCTTTAGGTAGTATTGTCTCCGTAATGCATAAAAGTGGTGGCACAACTGGGCATGGTGGCACACATCTATAGTCCCAGAACTTGGGAGGCTGAGGCAGGAGGATTGCTGCAAGTTTGAGGCCAGTCTGGGCTACATAATGAGTTCAAGACCAGCCCAAACTACATGGTGAGACTGTCTAAAAAACAAATTGGTGATACAGTGACAAAACTGGGGATTTAGCTTAGTAGCTCCACAGCCTGCCTTGCAAACACAAGGACCTGAGTTTGAAAAAAAGAAAAGAAACAACAACAATGGAGCCGCGGTTATGAATATCATGGAGTGACTTCCATTCTTCTGTGGGTCCCCCCAGGTGCCTGCTGGCCCCTGCTCTTCACTGCCATTTCATACTTTTCTCCTCAATCCTGTCTCCTTCCTTACCTTTCTTCCTTTTTCTAATTGTCGGCTGAGTTGATTTTCTTTCATAATTTTCCATATTGTACCATTTCTTGGTGTCAGGCACCTCATAGCAAAACAAAATCCACCACATTTGATTGTGAATCCTTATCCCATTCTTATGTGCTCACAATGATGCTATTAATTTGGTACCGACAAGTATTTTCTATATTTTACACTTAAAGAGATGGATAATGTTTGAAGTGAAGGCTGTATTAATTATCCTGATTCAGTCATTTCACAATGTGTATATATGTATGGAAGTATCATGTTATACCTCATATTTGTAAATTATGTGTTAATTAAGTATACTAGGGTTAGGTGTATAGCTCAGTATGATGCATGATTAGTATGTGGGAGGTGCTGGGTTCAGTCCTGTCAGCAAAAATAAATAAAATCAAGCAAAATAAAACAAATTGTGGCTCAGATTTGCTAAGACACAGAGCCAAGCACTCATATTTTAAAGAGGAGAGGGAGGAGTTATATGGGTTTAGAGTTGCTGAACCCAGATGGAAGACTAGGCCCATAGTGTTAAAGTAGAGGGTAAAATTTGGGTGGGCCAGAGAATTTGATAAAAAGTATTGAATCTGAAACAGCTTCCTTTATGTTTTGGTGTAAAGCCAAAAATAACTGGAGGTGGCTACTTTCTGGTACATAGCTTGAGTTCTCTAAAATGGACACATCACTCTGGAGAATATTCCTCTTAGCTTCATTTTTAATGTATACTGCTCACAACTTTTTTCTTTTCTCTCTCAGACCTTCTCTGACCATGCCCCACAGGAATCTGACAGGAAGCTGCAATGTGAACTGCGGTTGTAAAATACACGAATATGAGCCTGTGTGCGGGTCTGATGGGATCACGTACTTCAACCCTTGTCTGGCTGGCTGTTTTAACAGTGGCAATCTTAGCACGGGGGTGAGTATACTTCCTAAATTCCTCTTCTGTTGTTAATCCAATATCCTGTGGCAAGGATGTGAGTGAATTCATAGGCAACCACAATGATTTCATCCCCCTTTTCAGGGCATCCCACCTAACCTACCCAGTACCTCTGACAGACACCCAATGCAAAGACAGTTATACAGCACTATCATTTTTTACCAGGGCTGACAAAAAGTGATGCACGTGTGGAGATTTGGTTCCATTTCAGCCCTGTCCTATTGTATGTATCGAGCCAACTCAGTGAAACTTGAGAAGGCTGTGCTCTGGCTTTTCCATTTGATCCTCTGACAGGGCCCTTGTAATGGATTTGAAGGTCAAGGTGGCCACAGTTGGTGCTGATGGAAGAGACTAGGAGAGCACCGCCCCTGGTCCAAGTCTGGAAAGATCAGCAGTGGCCATTTTTTCATAAACGGGCAGTTCACTTCAACCTTTATTTAAAACTTTCAGAGTAAGGATATTTCTGTCAATTCAAGAATAGGCTATTTTGAGAATTCCCTTCCCTGTGAAATATAAATAGGCTGTGATAATGTGGAAGAGGTTTGCATATCCTACTCCATTCTCTGTTGAGCCTGGTTTAATTTTTGCATAAGAATAGATTGTAGGTGGTTGCTTTAATTAAAAGGTTAATATGCATCTGCTTGCCTGTGAGACCACTGAGTGAATGTTTTAGGTATTTTAGAGATGCAGTGTTTCATTCTGAGATTGAAACTAGAGTGATAATTTGAGAATTCCTGTTGCTAATTTCCGGCACATAATTGGTGAGCTTCTGTGTGTGTGAGACTGTCCTGGCTCAGGGTGAGAGAGTTCTTCCTGGAGGTCGGCCTAGTCCTCGGGGGCATAGTGCTTGTTCTTTGAACCCCAACAGAGATGGTGAAATGGGCCCAGCCTCACACCTGTTCATCCTGCTGCTCTCAGTGGGCCTCAGCTCAGCCGGTTTCCCTTCAGTGATAAGCAGCGGTCTAGGCTGCATCAGCATTGTGGAGGTGATGCCAAAGAAAGTTTCATTTTCCACTTTTGTATTTGTTTTCGGTGGGAATTTTGGTAGTTAACTGCAAGGATTGGATGTCTTTTGCTCTTCTGTATTTTTGGTCCCTTCGGACAATTCTTGGTTGTAGCAGTAGTGAGTCACAGATATTTTGTTGGAAAAAGTGAAGAAGGGGTTTAGGGCTCAGCAGTGTTTCCAGACAGCTGCCCTGAATAGAGTTCAGGAGTAGCTCAGGGCAGCAGCCACCCTCAAATTATATTCGAGGGGCGGTGTCGTTACGTATCTGTGGGCAGAGGCCTCCAGGTAATAAAAAAGGCTTTGAAGCTGGAGCAGTCTGTGGTGCTGAGGCCATCATGCTTGCATTCTGATTTATTTACTAGACATGAACTTTAGGGCCGAGCAGTGTGGTACTAGTTGCTCTGGAGAGTAGGACTGAGTCAAGTACTTGGAGAGCAGAGTTGTGCAAAAGTACTGGGGCAAACACAGACAAAGCTCAGCGTGGAGTTCTTGTTGCCGAGGATGGAATTGGCGAGCCCAAGAGTTCTCTGGTGATCAAGGCATAATACACTTATGACTCAACAAGCATGCGGTAGGAGAATATCGTAGAAATACTGAGTGCTCCTCATAGAAGTTTCAGTTTAGACTTTTGACCAGCAGAGTCTGGTAACACGGTACGTACACTGAGCCCTTCGTGTCATTAGTGAGGGCCATGTTTTCGGTGAAGTTTTTGCATTTTAAAAAATACCCGTTATGAACCACCTGCCTCGCAAGCACAAGGTCCTGAGTTCGAGCCCCTGTACCAAAACCCAAAACAGAACAAACAAAAAGCACAGTTATTTTAGAGCGTGTTTACTTTCTCTTACTATTTCTGCGTCACGTTTTGCTTTCGATTGTCTGTCCTCACTCTGCCACTTAGATTCGGAATTATACCGAATGCACCTGCGTCCAGAGCCGACAAGTGATCACGCCGCCCACCGTGGGACAGCGCAGCCAGCTCCGCGTGGTCATAGTCAAAACGTATCTCAACGAGAACGGCTACGCCGTGTCGGGGAAGTGCAAACGGGCCTGCAATACGCTCATCCCCTTCTTAGTGTTTCTGTTCATAGTCACCTTCATCACCGCGTGCGCCCAGCCGTCAGCCATCATAGTCACACTCAGGTGAGATCGGCAGGGGCTTCTGGCAGGTGGCGGTCCGAGCAGCGTCAGGAAGGGAAGGGACGACTGTAAATTTTTATGCCCTAGAATTTTCTTTGGTTGGGTTCTGGTCCTGTTGTTTAGGGAAGCATCATTTGGGCGCTTTCTGTTGCGTGCCCAACAAGGTCGGTCCTCAGGAGTGGAAAACCGTCTCTGTGTGAGCTCTGAGAAGCCGGAGCCCAGAGGAGGGCAGAAAGTAATTTGGCGAAGTTGCTAAATCACGCGCACCACAGAAGCCGCGATCCCCAGCCTCGCAGATCGTTAGCACCGAGCGCCCAGGATCCGTGACCACTTATGCTGGGCCTGTATTCCGTAATGCTGGCTTCATTTCACTGCGGTTTAAATCTTGGCGTTGGATCAAGGGAAGGGCAGAGTGGGAAATGTTATTTTTGCTACACACTCAGGCCGTGCTTGCTTTGCTGTATTGTATTATCCCGTGTGGTTTCTTCTTCATGGAAGGACACGGCAGCTCCTTTTGCCCTATTGGAGATGCCGGCACTGACACATTCGGATCACTGTGCTGGTGTTTGCAGTAAAGGTTTCGGGGGCAGTGGTGAAGCACCAGGTTCACACAGTGAGGCTGTGAGGAAGGGAGTCAGCCTTACTTCTCTCTGGCTCCTTGGAGCCTTGCAGCGATTGCGCCGGGCAGGAATCATGTGCTGAGGTGACGACTACGAGGCGTAGAACCGGGACATTGCTGTGAAACAGGAAGGATTCGGGGAAAACACAAGAGTATGGGTCTTCGGAAATTCTCCATTGTATACCTAGAGCTCTAGGATGAGGCACTTCATTATTTTGTTTGCCTTGGATGGGATGTTGTTACATTGCTCAGGCTGGCCTCAAATCCTGGCCTCAGTGATCCTCCCCCTCGGCCTCCCAGGTAGCTGGGGCCACAGGTACGCATGGCCGTGCCCCACTCATCACTTAAGAGGCCGTGGGAACCATTAATAATTTTACTTACTTAATGATCGAAGCTTTGCATTTTGGTTCTACAAGAGATGCTAAATGGGGGCCACCCATTTTATAGTGCTCAAACATAGCAATTGACTTCTAACCCCAAATCTCAGAAAATTAGGCCTCTAATCTCTGCTAATTGCGAAATCAATAGGTTCCAGGCTTCCTGCCATATGGGAATTACTTCAGGCATAAATTTTAGGAAAAGGAAAAAGTGCCATTTGGAGGAGCTCATTCTTTCTCTGACTTTTGACTTGATTTTTTTGGATCCATGCTTTGTTTTTGTTTTTACGTCTTCCTAACTGGAATTACGGGAGTGATTTCCATGGACACATCTACCATTCTGGAAAGTGCAAATAGAAAGAGGATGTGATTTTTAAGATAAAATATGAATTATTAAAACAGATTTTGAAGGCCCAACTAAAGCTGCTTATGCCTCTTTGGCCAAGAGCCTTTGACCTACCACTAATATTTACATAGAAGCAATTAGAATGAATTGAATTGGTTTTGGTGTCTTCGCCAAGGAGATCTCTGTTTTGGGATTTAGCTGTCCCCAACCTTGCTTGGCTGATGTTACTAGATTCTAGTGAGTTAAATATTATGGTACCGCATTTCTTTAGTCACAGGCTCTGTGTAAAGTGAGCTCGAGTTGGCATCTGTTTTCTTGGGGCTGCTGTGTAGTAAAAACCCGTCCTTCTTTCCCTGCACTGTAGGTCTGTGGAAGAGGAAGAGAGACCTTTTGCGCTGGGGATGCAGTTTGTCTTGCTGCGAACACTTGGTAGGTCCCTGAATTTCCAAGCATGCGGTTCCTCTTTTGCAGCTGTGCATTGTCCTTTAAAAATGGCAGTCAAATCATTTGTTACTAGGCATAGCTAGGAATTTACGGGTTTGGGGTGAGGGCACACTTCCTTATTTTCAGATTTGAGCTAAAAGCTGACAAGTTCCTTTGATGAAACAGAGAAACTAAATCGACTTTGGATTAGTTTCCTTTTGCCTGTGAGCATAAACTTGGGCAACATCCTAGAGATCTCTAGAGTTTTATACAGCAAGAAATACAAAATCAAGAAATTTGTAGTGGGTTTGTTATCCTGGCATTTTGGTAACTTTATGCCTTCTTAACATGAAAGTGAGAGACATGTAAAACTTTAAATTGTGAAACTTTCAGCTTCTGACTTCCTTATAGTATTTTTACTGGACTGAGCAAAGAGTACACTTGTCAAATTTTCTGAGGAAAACAACATTCTAAAAACAAAAAAGTGATAGAAGTACCCTGCAGGTTTTGCTCATGGCAAGAAAAGCTCATTAGGCTATGTGGCTGTGACTGGAATGCATGCAGAATGGTTTGTTCAAACACATATCACCCCCTGAAGGCTTGGGAAGATGGATGGGAAGTGGCCTGTTGCCTGGATCGATTTCACTGTATTGTTGGTTGACTTCCTAATCACCAAGCTTATTTTTTCTTTCTTAAGTGGCAGCTTGTTATTTTTTCAGCTGCTGTTTTTTCCCCAGTAATCAGTACTATTGTTCCTAGGACCCCCCAAAATAGTTTTGTTTGTTTGTTTGTTTGTTTTTGGTGCTGGGAATCAAACTTGGAACCTTGCACTTGTGAGGCAGGTGGTGGAACTGCTGAGCTAAATCCCCAGCCCACCAAAAAAAAAAAAAAGTTTTGAATCAATTTTAGTATTTGAAGGGTGAAACACTTTTAAATGTCATGGCCCTGCCCTTGGAAGCATTCTTCTTCTCTGGAATTCTCAGTTTGTCGCATCTGTGGTTGCTGGCTCAGTTCACAAATGAGCACTTTTCCAGTAAGCCCCAGAGGGACAGTGATTCTAGTTCTAATGGGTGCCTTGTCTTTCTGATACCGACAAGAAGGTACTGTTTTAAAATGTGTTAGTCAAAACAAATCCTGACATAAATACATAGTTAAAACTAGAAAGTGTTATTTTCAAAGAAAAAAATTGATTTCCCAAAGGGATGGGTGAATAAGGAGAAGAAAAAAGTAATTTGTTCTTGTTTGCACTGCCCCTCTTGGATGCCACAGTGTGGGTTACGTGGTTTTGACCTAGAGGGAAAAGTAAGGCAGCAGATGCCTCCTGCAGCACCAGGGATAAGGGAGGAGCGCACACCAACCATCTGCCACTTCATTTAACTTTATCTTGTGTGTTTTTTTTTTTTTTGTGAGACAGGGCGTCACTAGGTAGTTGAGATTGACCTGGAACTCATTATTGAGCCCTGGCTGGCCTTGAACTCACAGCGATCCTCCTGCCACAGCCTCTCCAGCCTCTCGAGGGCTGGGATTACAGGCGTGTGCCACCACGCCGGCCTCATTTAACTTTATCTTAATTTCTGTTGATTGGAAATTGGCTAACAAGCCAGTTTCATTTCCTCAACATTTCAAAGCAAAGGAATTTTTAGTACTTACATAGCTTTAAATTTTAATTGTAGCGATGGATCTCATTTTCACAAAATATAGCTTATTTAGGAATGCACCACAGATTTCTGGTCTGCTAACCTGCACATCCTCTCTCCCTCGTTCCCTCTCTTTTCTTCTTCCCTTGTACCCGTCACTCCTCCTGTACACCTTTGCTGAGCAGGCATGGGCTACCCTGATAGGTTCTTGGGCTGCGAACCCTAAAAGGCGTGGCCCTGCCGTGGGGGACCTCGTAAGATATCAAGTTGTCAAATGGATTTAAATAAATGCCATGTGATCGTTAACAGTGTGGAGGTGTACACAAAACATGACGGGGCCTGAGGGCTTCTGAGTGAGAGCACTGTCAAGGAGGGGCAGGATTTTGCAGGCGAGGCTGTGGACATGTTGGTGAGGGGAGAGGCCCGCGGTGAGGCCTACCTACCAGGCAGGCTTGCCTGTGGGATTAAAGAACTGTCCTTCGCACGGCCCAGACACCAAAGCTATGCTGTGCTGTAAGCTTCAAAGGTGAATTTTATGCCGTGGTGGCTTCCATACACAAGTGCCTTTGTGAACTCACCTTTAGATGTGGTGTCTGGCTAGTAGGGGGAGCCAGCACCAAACTCCACCTCTTCCTGCATCCAGGGACTGGGACTCAACCCACAAAAACTGGGTGTTACTGCCCTTGGACAGGCACTAAAGGGTTCCAGCATGGCTTCTTAAGTATTTAGTGACAAAATCTACTTTTACATTTACGGAGATTCTCTAACGGAGTTTTTGGCAGATAGACATTTTTTTCCAGCTTTATTCACATATATACAAACAACAGACGATTTTATGACCCTAAATGTCAGTAACATGTTCTGAGTTGCAAATTAGAAGATTTCAAGTATTTACTTCTTTGAATGTTCTTATAATAAATTGTGATGAAACGATATACTTTTTAAAAAATCAAGTGACACAAGAAGTCACTCCCATCAGTTGTTTTTTGAGCGCTCTCCTTTGCTAATCTAAAGTCTGTTTTCTCTTGTAAAATGTGCTGAATCTATTTCCCTCTCTCCCCGCCCGTCCAGCGTACATTCCGACGCCGATTTACTTCGGAGCGGTCATCGACACCACCTGCATGCTCTGGCAGCAGGACTGCGGGGTGCAGGGCTCTTGCTGGGAGTACAACGTGACATCATTTCGTTTCGTGTACTTTGGTTTGGCGGCCGGCCTCAAGTTTGTTGGCTTTATTTTTATTTTCCTGGCCTGGTACTCCATAAAACACAAGGAGGATGAAGCGCAGAGGCAGAGGGCCCGAGAGCTGCCCCTCAGCACGGTGAGCGAGCTCGTTCGCCAGCCCCGCGGGGCCCAGAGGTACGCCCGGACTACCTCGTGCCCGGCCTTCAGTACCCAGGGCGAGTTCCCCGAGGACACCGGCCTGCAGAGGGGCGTCACTTCTGCAGCGCAGACCTACGCGGGACCCTTCCCAGAAGCAATAAGCTCCTCCGCAGAGCCGGGGCCCGTTGAGAGCCCTGCCGCCCTGTAGCCGCCCCCCGAAGCTGGAAAACCACTTGTTTTGTTGGTTGTCCGTGGAGAGCCCTGCCGCCCTGTAGCCGCCCCCCGAAGCTGGAAAACCACTTGTTTTGTTGGTTGAGTTGAATACGGCGACTTGAGAAACACCTGTGCCTTCTTTTCTTTCTTTTTTAACCTCTACACACACAATCCTCAATCCAACAAAACTCAGTATACACAGCCACTATCGACTGAGGGCTGGATACCTCAACCGGACTGGAGCCTTTCCCTCTCCCCGGCAAGGAGGAGGTCGGGTAGATCTGTTACCACTTCTGCTATGTTAGTTTGCTGCCTATGCTGTGGTGTGGGGTAAGGCTGAGGTCCTTGGTTAACACAACCGCGGGAAGGGCAACGCGTGCGTGTCACTAACATACACTCCAAACCGAGGTGAGCTTCACCGCGACTTTGCATTTGCAAATCCGAGTTTTTAGATTTGAACACCTACTGTGAGCTCTGCTACAAAGCACAAATGAATTTGCCTCAACTATGCAATTTGATTGGAAAAATGTAAGTGCAGCATGTCACCTTTGCTTTCAGAGAATAAAGCGGATTTGTTTTTGAAAGGAGAAAGCTGGACGTTCCCTAAAGTACTGTTAAGAGCATTTTAAGCCATAGCAGAGTTATCAATCAGGTAGAATTTTTCAAATGCTTCAAAGGAACCATACGCATAGCATGATGAAAGGTATGGCCGCATCATTCCATAAGACCTTCTCTGTAAGTCTGTCTGCCTGTCCTAGAGGCTGCTGAATCATAGATCTGATAGCTGGAACGTAAACTTCAGCATTTCATCAGGGGGGCTTTAAAGCTAGTGTGCCAAGCAGTATGGCCAGAAACTGTAATTTGAAATATATAATATGGAAGCGGATGGCTTTCTCATCCAAGGAATTGCTGTCAAAATCCCCTTGCCTCGTAAGGGCCCACATAAAAGCGATGAAGAGTTCCAACTTTGACATTCAAAGTAGTTGAAAAAGGAATTTCAAAGGTAATATGGATTCCCACCACAGCATTTTATTTATAACTTTAAAGTACTGGGAATTCTGTATTCTCCCCCACCTCTTTCTCCCCCCTCTCTCTTCCTCTTCTTCCTGTTCCTCTTCTTTCTCCTTCTTCTCCTCTTCCTCCTCTGCCTTCTCCTCCTCCTCCTCCTCCTTTTTGGTACAAAAAATTGCTGTGGCTGTCCCTAAAAATGAAATAATGACATCAGGAAGGCTTTCCTTCGGATATGAAAATCACTTTGAATCCAGAAGGCAGACCTGCGAGCCAGATCCAGAGTAAGATCCTTAGTAGAGAATTATTTAAAATAACCCAGCTCATCACATTAAATCACATTTTATCAGAGATCCAATCATTTTATATACTATCCTTTTTGATTCCCTGTCTGTATCCTTCCTACAGCAATTCTGAGGTAGGATTTTTCTGTTCCTAAACGCCCTTTGGGTTCGTTATCTGCCATTCCTCACGGAATCTCCCAGCATATCACTTTGACGGAGTTACTGTGTGGGATGCTTTCTACCTGGTTCTTAAAGTAGATACCTTCTGCAGCACTAATAGACCAGCACAAGGTGACTCAAGGGTCCCAGAGCCAATGGAACTGTGGGCTGTTTCTGCCAAGGAGCCCATACTCATCTGTGTCTTAATTTGAGGCACTGTTTATACGTTCCTGTGGGACAGAAGTCATGACAAATTCTCCCACAATTGGGGCTTTTTGGCTTCCCTCCTCACTTGGTCACACAGATAAAATTTTGTGAATTTCCCAGTACAATGTTGTTTTCCTCTCTGCCTAGGAATGACCTTGATCAAGTGGTCCTCTTGGTTGTGGCCAGCTTGTGGGGAGAGTAATCACTGTCAGACTGACACATGTCTGTAAGGGGTGAAGCTCGTGGCTCAGGCGACAGGTGCGCTTGCCCTTGGCTCCTAGGCTGCACGCCCAGGGAGGCGAGCAGTCTTCCTTGGCTCTGATTGAAAGTGTGTTGGTAGCTGTCAAACTCTGGTCAGTGTGAGGACATTGAAGATTTTCAGGAAAAGTTGCTGATTAACCCAGTCTCTACTTGGGGATTCAGTGTTCCTCTTCACCCTCTCTGGATGACCTGGATCCTTTAGAAGGGAAAATATTCCTTAGTGCTGGAGCTAAAGCTATGTAGGCAGAGGAGGGGTGATCATTTCTTAAGTTTTTCTCTGATCATTAAAACATTTTGAGCCAGGGATTTAGCTTAGTGATGCCACTGCCTGCCTCACAAGCGCAAGGTCCTGAGTTCGATCCCCGGTACCCCCTCCCCCCAATTTTTTTTCATTGAGTGACTTTGGGGAAGGCTGGCAGTGCTTTTTGGTGCTATGATTGTTGAAGTCACCAGGGGAAATTAGAGAGATTCCCGCCTTTCTCTTGTGCAGTCACCCACCTAGCAGGCACTGACTGGGCACCGATCTACTGATTCCCACCTCTTGGGATGATTGGGTTAGAAACTGGCCTGCCATGTCCCCCATGGTATTCGTATTGTCCTTTCTCGTCCTTGTTAATAACAGGTGTGCCATTAATGTGCTGGTGATGTAGAATAAGTAGTAAAAGTTATGAAGGAATGAAGTTTTGGAATATGTACCAATTAGGAATTGCTCCCAAAATGCTTTGGGCTGCGGTAGTATCATTGGAATTACCTAACCAACTAAGTGACTATTTTGAGGATGATGGTATTTAATTGTGTATATAAGATCTTATATGTTTGCTTATAAATTGGCTATGATACTTTATAGTTATGGCTCCCGTAGACATTTTAATTGTCAGTGCATCTTGGCTTTAGATTCCTTGTTTTGGCAAAAGGTCATCTTGTTCCTCTTTCCATTCTGTAAATTAATGTATTATTTGGCTCTAATACACAAATATATTATTCTTGAGTCCAGCCTATTAATTTGGAAACTCAAAGGGTGTAGGGTAGGTGGTTGGAAGCACATTCTGTAGGTTGACTTGGTCCGTTCTAGTAAACAGTCCCGCTGGGCATGGCGGCTCCTGCCTGTAATCCCAGCCCCCTGGGAGGCTGAGGAAGGAGGATCACGAGATCTAGCCCAGTCTGGGCAAGTTAGCTACTCTGAGACTTGGTTGTAAAGTAGCCTGGAGGTGTAGCTCAGTACAAAGGCCTCAGGTTCAATGGGAGGGGGCAGGGAAAGGGGGGAGGGAGGAAGATCAAAAGTCATTCAGAATCACGGTGTCACCATGTTGGGAGTGGAGAGAAAGGAGGATCAGAGAGGAAATTAGCCATCCCTGCAGAGCATTTTGCAAGTATTTACTTCATATTATTCATTTGAATCCTCTTAACTTTTAATATGCTGGTGTTTTTTGTTTCCTTTTTTTGTTTTGGTGGTGCTGGAGATTAACCTGGGTACTTACATGTGCTAAATGTGTGTTCCATCACTTCACTGTACCCCAGTTTTATTTTCCCTTCCTTTTTTGTTCACTTCTCTTTCTCTGTCTCTATGTCTCCCTATCTCTGTCTGTCTCTCTCGTCTCCAGATTCGGACCTGAGCCTCAGAGAGGCAAAGTCACTTGTTTAGGATTGCACAGAGTGACGGCGTGGGGGGAGATGTGGGTTTCTCTGGCTTCATTTTCACTTCTTACATTAAATAATGCAGAAAGTGGTTTTTGGTTAACAGAGGCAAAGGGCAATTTTATAATAGTGAGGTTAATGCATTTCATTTTTTGATGCATTAGTTTCTGAAGACTAGAGATACTATTCTTTCCTTGTATAAATAGAGAAAACAAAGCTGTAGGAAACCCCTTTAGGAAGCATCAGCATTTAATGTTTAATTAGATTTTTATGGTAAATTTCATTTATTTAGCTAACTAATATTAAAAAGTGTCATAACATACCTCAAATATTTACTTATAGTTTATATTTAATATAGAACAAATCCAACTTTGGTGTTAATGTCAGCAAAGCTTCTGAAATGAAATGTATGGGACATGGTCGTTCAGATTTGTTGAATCTGAGCTTTGGGGATTTTAGGTCTTTTTCTCTTTCTTTCAGAAGGTTACTATTTCCCTTAGCTTTGGGGGCAGATAGGAGTTCCAAGATTCCCTGTCAAGACCTACAGTGAGCATACACAAGATCCACGGCGAGCCACTGGCCCTGGTTGCTGCCTTGCGGACTGGGACGGCAGGGTGCACGAGGGAGAGCAGCCCTCAGAGAAGGGACCCTGGCTGGGGGTTGGGGAGGTCATGTCCTCTGTGTGTTCCCCAGCCACCCAGAAGATTCCTCAGGCCACAATCCAGCTTGTGTTGTGTGGACCTGAAACACCGTAGGTGAAACAACGTGAATGCGGCTGTCGGGACACAGCGCACATTGAGCTTTCCGAGCAGCAGACAGATACCAAGACACTGTATTGATGCCACAGTGGCCTAGGCTGCAGCTCAGCTAGTGTTCTGATTGACGGACACTTAGGGAACCTCTGCACGCATGGTGTTTCCTCCTCCATCCTAAGGGAGCGTGTGGCTGGCAGGCAAAGTTCATTGCCGTGTGCACTTTATCTTTTCTGTCTCTTCTCTTTTCTTCATTTTCCAAGATGTTGCTGCTGTGTCTGTCCCAGACTTCAGGTTACACTGGAATCAGATCTCTCTGTGTGTAAAAAGGGTTCACTGTAAGCACGTCATTGCTACTCAGCCCTAGGGAGGGGTCCAAGGTGATGGAAACCCTCCTTAGCTGTTTGCTTTTGAAACATTAGAAAAATGCCGTGGTGCTAAAAGTATTCAATGATGCATGTTCACTACTGAATTCACAGTATTTCACTGATAAGGGGCTGCATGTGCTCAGCATTTTGGAGTTCTGGAAAAGTTCCCAGAAGACAAGCACCCATCACTCTTATTTCAGCAATACAGGAGTGTACGAGGGCATGCTTTTCTGTGAATAACTCGAGTGCTTTTGGTATTTAGTGTAGCAAGAAGGATCAGATGCTAAAAATAATTTCAGAGAGAGGTAGAACCATTTCAGATATGTTTTTCTGCAGAAAGTGTACACCCATATGGGGTGTTTCTGGCAGTGAGGTTTTAAAGGTATTGTCTTTTTCTGGTAGTCTATTATATAGGTTAGAATTTAAAGAGAAAATGTCACTGGAAACTAATTTCAATGATGTATTAAACCAAAGGGGTGAACAAAAGAAGCTTCAAGTTTATATGTAGAGTTGAAAAATAGAAATAATTGGTAAGATTTGGCATGGGGCATTTTTCTTAAAATAAATATACCTCTATAAAGCCCCAAATGTTAATGTTGCTGCATGAAGCTGGATGGCCAGCCCCTAACATTTTAGCTTAAGGAAATGGAATAAAGAAACTGGCATTGGAGTCTCCGTGGAGAGTGCGATCAGGATGCCTGTGTTTTTCTGTGTAGAGGTGCGCTTGTGACAAAGGGCTGTTTTGAGTTGTTACATAAAGGAGTTTGATTTTGTGATTTTAAGATGAATATTTATTCAGAGACCTGTTAGGGTTAATTTAAAAGATGTATGACTTCCTTGTGTTCAATGAAATTGATTGTCAATGTACCGATAAACCCTGGTTTACAATATCTCGAATACTTGATCATTGAATATTAAGGAAAAAAAGTTTAAAAAAATGAATAAAGTGTGTGGCATTGAAATTAGTTTGTCTCTGGATTTTTATTGTTTGGAGAGAAAAAGCAGTGCCTGTGTGATTTCCTACTTCTTGCTCAGTATTAATTCCTTACCTAATTGTTAACTTTGTCTTGAAGCAGAAGTTTCAGTGGTAAGCTGTTAGGGTTAGCGTTTTCAGAGCCTGTGGTAGGTAGCACATTCTAAACTGAGTCACCGAAAAAAGAATTTCAAGTTGTTCATTATTTATTAAAATTCAAGATGGACTTTCAGACTGCAGAACTGTGTGCCTTGCATATGTTTGTTAGGTTATGCTTGAATAACCTGATACCCACATCTCTGTGGCTTCCAAGCACACAGCCTGTTGTCATCCACAGTGCATGTCCGTTGGAGTTCGGTCCACAGTCTCCCAGGGACCCAGCAGCACTGTCTGGAGCCTCCGGAGCTGCTTTTGGTTGCTGGCGGGAGGAAAGGAAGAGCCAGGAAGTGGCTGAGGGCTGTTTCCTTTCTCAGCCTGGAAGTAGCTCCCATGTCATCAGCCTGCACTGGTGTCATGGTTTGCCTAACTGCCCGGCACCCTGAAAATAAAGGGGAACAAATGGTGTGTGGTTGATTGTGATGGGTTAAGGATGATTTCCAAAGGAGTCCAACTCATTATTCTAAAAGTTAGTAAATAAAGGGAAAATCTTCAGCACACACACAAACGCACCAGTGATTCCCAAAGGCCACAAATGAGTTAGTAGGTCAACAGTTGAGTTGAAAATCTCCTTCCCAAATCCATTGGGTGACAGGATAATTGTTGGTTGCTAAAATGGCCCAGATCCAGTGCTCTGAGACAGGAGCAAGAATTTGGGCTTAGACCCCACCCAGGGAGAAAATGTATGGATTTAAAACAAAGTATGTTATGCATTTATACATATATATGTATGTAAATATATGTATATAAGTACACATGCATGGCTATATATGTGCACATACACATCTCTGAGGTTCAGTATGGCTTCTTAATGCATGTATGCAATGTAATGATCAGATTAGAGTAATTGGCTTATCCATCGCCTTAAAAGCCTATCATTTTCTTTGTGTTGAGAACATCTCCTTTCTACTAGTTTTTCGAAACACATAATGAATTGTCTACAGTAGTCACCCTACTGTGCTGTAGAGCATTAGAAGTTATTCCTCCTGCTCAGCACTGTGAGGTTCTGGGTTCAACCCCCAGTGTGGACGGGGTGTGCGAAAGACCCAATAAAAGGAAATGATTCCTCCTCTCCAACTGCAGCCTGTTTCTGTTCCGTCCTCTCTCCATCACACCCTCAAAACCCTGGCCTCTTGTGACCACTATGCCCCTCTACTGTTATGAGATCACCTTTTTCTGTTTCCACACATAATGGAGAACATGTGGTACTTGTCTTTCTGTACCCGACTTATTTCACTTAGCGTAATGTCCTGCATTCCCTCCAAAGCACTGGATTTGGACATCTCTGCTGACAGCAGTATTTTCTAAACACACTGGCACCTCTTACTTTTGGGTGAGAGGTGGAAGGAGGTAAAAGAGACATGGAAATAACAGCATGACTGCTGCGGGGGAGTACAGAGGGGTTGTATTTAGAGACGGCCTTCAGCACATCACAGGCAGAAAGCAGGGCAGTGGATTTCTGGGTCTCGTTCCCTTATCCCATCCCACATGGAAAACAGAGGGTCAGAGTAACCCAAAGTACATGAGTGTGTGTGTGTTTGTGTGTGTGTGTGTGTGTGTGTGTGTGTGTCTGTGCTGAACTTCTGGAAAACCCTTGCATTCCCCAGCTTTCAGTATTCATCAAAGCAGCTGTTTACAAAAAGTAAATAGTAAGCCCTGGTCAGTCTCCTCAATTATGTGTACATAATTTAGGCAAAAGGATTTCTTATGAATTTAAGTTTTCTACCTTTTGGGGTATAGACAGAGTCCCCCCCCACTTTGGTTTTTTGAGACAGGGTCTCACTATGTAGTTGAGACTGACCTGGAAGTCACTGTGTAGCTCAGACTGGTCTCGAACTCACAGCGATCCTCCTGCCTCAGCCTCCCGAGTGCTGGAATTACAGGTGTGAGCCACCGCGCCTGGCTAGACAGACGTTTTGATTCAGGGTTTTGGAAACAGGCACGTTAGAATATGTTTCACGTTGAGAACTGAACGGTGAAGAAAGGTCATGGGCTGTGGTCATTATCTTCCTTGCTTTAGCGCCAGTCTCGGTTTTCAACCTGTGTTTTAAGAGCTGTTAAAAACCATCTAGTTTCTTTCTGCTTTTTAAAATTGCCAGCTGGATAGAGATGGCCTCTGTGGCTGCAGTGCATTGGAGCCAAAAAACATTTTTAATTTCACAAAGTCATTGGAAAGCAAGGAGATCAATATTCAGTGCTCACTTTCAATTTAAATGTCAAAATTTGACACAGTTCCAACTTGTAATATCAACATAAATCAGTAGGATTCTAAAACTGTTCTTTGGTCTGCCGGAATGGCTGGGGTCCTAGGCACTGCAGAAAGAGCCAGTCTGCCATGGATCAAGTTGTTCTAGATGTGTTCTTGTCAAAAGATCAGAGGAGCAAGGGTTCTTCAGAAATCAATGCAAATGGTCGCTTTCCGCGGCCGGCTGCTGGCTCCAAGAAAAGATGGATTTTAGTTTCATCAGAGTGCCACCTAGCGGTCACCGTATGTACACGCCGGGCTAACTTTCGGGCCTTGACGGGAAGGGCGACCTCAGCGTGGATACATATTAGGGTGGCAAGGGCCATGGCCTCTCTTCAGGTACTGAAACCTACCCAAGGTTGTGTTGGTTCCTCTTAAACTCTGCGTCCCTGACCTGTTGGGTTTGGGAGGTGGAGGGACGTGGGAGAAGAGGAATGGGGAGAGAATACAGATTCTAGTCCGCATAATGTGTGTGTGCACGCGCATGTGGGAGTGTATGTGCGTGTGCGCGTGTGCACGCGTGGGCAGGGGGTGAGGGTGTCAAAAATTCGGAAAGAAGGCAATGCATTTGCTCACTGCTTCCATATCCCAGCCAGGAGTGAGGCAACACGTAGCACAAAAGACCTCAACATGCGCAGGTCCCTTAGTCCCCCATACCCGTGATTCCCCATGCGAGGGGGCAGGGGCTCCCTAATATCAACAGTAGCCTGTTTCAGAAAGTCCTCACGCTCCTAAAGGCCGGGAAGACCCAAAGCCCTCCCCAGGCGCAGCCTCTGCAGAGGTTGCTCTGGGTCATAGAAGCCCATCAGAGTCAGAAAAGGGGGACACAGGTGGCGAGTGTGGCCAGTTTATTCCATTGGCCTGGGACTTGGTTTTCTTACTTGGCAAAGAGTGTAAAATGGGAGCGAGATTATGTCCAGGGTAGCAGAGTCCAGGACAGCTTACATGAAAAGGTAAAATTTGAAACAGTTGAAGGGTGGATGGGACTTCTGTGGGCTGAGATAAACAGGAGAGGAGGCAATGACAGGAAAGGTGGTGGGAACAGTGCATGGGCCAGAGATCCCAGCAGGAGGACCTGGGCCTTGGCAGTGAGTGCGGGAAGTACTGGGAGTTGGCAGAGGTCAGAGCTGGGGACCAGAGTGTATGGAGGTTTTGATTACCCTGGAAATCTTAATTATTGACCAAAGATCTATTAAAATCAATTTTGGAAGTATCAGAATTGAGTTGTAGCTGGCTGTGTCAAGGATTCTGAGCCACAGATGCTCTTGTTCAATGGAAAAATGCACTGGTATCTTCCCTGGCACATTTTGAGAAAAAGAAAACACTTTTGTTGTGTATTTGTCAGTCCAGGTCCAAATCTCTTGCTTTACAGTTTATTTTGTTAAACTCTATAAAGTTGTTTTAGAGAGGCTTCCTAAGCTCACAGAGTTTTAAAAAAAATAGCTTTGAGGTGCGCAGTTTT